TTTGAAGTTAGTTGTAGAATAATAGGTGTGTCTGGTTACCCTAAAACTTGTAACAATTGTTACAAATTGTTACTGGAAGTCGTCTGTTAACCCGAAAGTTCTGCAAAAGAGAGCGGTTGGAGAGAGAAATTTTGACAGTTCTTTCAGTGAGAGTTTGCAAATTCTTGCTGGAAAAATTTCTTTTTGCAATCTCTTGCAACTCTTCTTCTTCTCATTCATTGACATTCAATCAGATGTTTTCTATTGTTTATTTATTTCTTTTTGTGATTTTAATTTGAAAATATTGTTTTGGACTTTACAACTTTACAAAATGTGACAAAAGTAAATATTAAAATATAATAAGAAAATAAAAGACTATTTCCAACATTTTTAGACAAATGCCATTAGCAACAGGTTTAAAAGATTCCGCGGAACACATCATATCTATCTTCCTTTTATTGCTCATATTTTTATTTTATTGTCAATTTCCTTTTTATTTATAAAACTTGTGAAATTGGTGGTGGTTCCTTTCGTTTAATTCTTTTAATGGGGGACAAATTGGTTTGTTTTGACAAATCAGCTGATTAGTTGCAAGCTTCTGCAGGAATACCGTCTGTTTACTTTTCGCAATTTCCTTGCAAAAGAGAATAAAACTACCTTACTCTCTCAGAAAGATGTTGCTGGACAATTCCTGCAGGGAAAGTAACCAGACACACCTAATGCATTTATAACTAACGATTTCTTCAACTGGTTGAAAAAAGTCCCGCGTCGAAATTTCGACGGTGATGATGTGTTTTTGTGTGTGCTGTACAGTGTGACCAGATCTAAAATAGTGTTGCAGCTAAAACAGCATAAAAATAATGCTAAAAAATGCCGAACCAAAAAATTAAAATGCCAAAAAATAATACAAAATATAAATACGTTTTATAACCGTGCAACACTATGTGTTGGGGGTATTAAAAGTTTGATTTGGCCAAAAATGATGTAACACTTCGAAATTTTGGCTTCCCACATAGGAAAGTATATATTGATCTTCCAATCTCGCTAAGCTGAGCCGAACTAGCTATGTAAATTTGCAATCACGCTACAGGTCACAATTATAAACCAAACGGCATGGGGCTAGACTTTGGACTGAGCAGAAGCTTTTCAATTTGAATTGTCATCGGATAATATTGAGCGGGTGAAATAGACCATAAGTTTTGCAAAACAAAAAAACATTTTTTTCCGTTAAACCGCGAATATTTTTAATCCCGGTGAAATTACAAATAGACGAAAAGGTAAATTCTGACCGTTACGTAAATGTCGATAGTGAAGATATCGGATATATAAAATGCTTACACTTGTTTCATTAAAATATAAAAAGGTCGAATAAAAAGGAAAGACATTAAATACTTACATTTCAAAAATAGTTGCACTGATTTTGAGAAATTTTCTCAATTCAGAATGCCCTCTTCACAGGAAAGAAAAAAATCTAGACAAAAACGCATGAAAAAATCTCAATAAAGATGTGGATATTGATTTTGTAACATTTTCTTACATTTTTCCATTTTGTCACATTTTTTTTTTTTTTTTTTTGCATGAGATATTTTCATTTTGACTTACAATATTGAATTTTATATTTTGTAATATTTTTACTCTTTACAAGATTATATAGTAAGAATATTATATACATGGCACATTTATGGCCCGATCCTCACGAAATGTTGGATGGAGGTGTGGTTAGTGTCAGAATAGAAGCCTGATGTTTTTTGGAGATGATTGCAAAATATTCAGGGGTTCAAATGGACCAAAAACTAAAGGTTTTCTTACCCGTCATAATTATCGTCCGATCCTTAGCAAATTATAAGTAGGAGTTCGGTATCGGCCCTGCCAAGCATTTTGAATGGCCATCTGATAACTGTTAGCGGATAAAAGGGGCCCCAATTTTTGCCCCAAAATGTATATTTCACCGAAATGATGAAAGTCAATTCCAGGTGAATTAAGAAATACACGAATGGCCCACTTCTGATCTTTTTTCCAGCAATTCATATAGAGAAACCTTAATTTACAAATATTGCTCTGAATAGCCATTAGCACGACTCTCTTTTCTTAAACTCTAATATAGGGCAAATTCTATAAGAATATACATTACTTCGATTTAAACCATGACATTTTTTTAGAGATGACAGGTTTTTTAAAAATAACGAAGGTTATTCGGAAGGAGGACCAATAAGGTCCATCATCTGTTTTTAAATTTAATATGATTTAATTAAAATGTATTAAGTCCTGCTACTTGATAATTAGAGACCGAATGATGATTAGAATGAGATCGTTTGTAATATTAAAACCTTCGCAACCTTTATTTAACCTAATGTAAAGATGTGAATTCACAGTATATAATATCATTATATTTCTAATTTCTGTTTTTATAAGTTTCATGCCACTGAAAACTCTTCCAACTTCTGCGTTACTAAAAGGTAAAACTAGACAATTCATAATAAAAGAAGATAATTCCTTGAACGGGTTTTCATTTAAAGCACTTTTAATTTCTTATACAATAAAAAATAAATCGTCGAGTGTATGTTTGCCCATTCACATGTACTTAGCTTTTGCCGTTGCTTTTCTAAAATAGTAATTTCGTTCAAAATGTTCATGTAATTTATTTTTTTAGATTTAAGAAAAATTGGATTTATAAGAAAGTACTAAAATATAAGAACATTTTTGGACAAAAAAAAATGCTAAACTAATAATTTCAAAAAGCTAAGAAAAATGCTAAGTGCTAGATGAAAATTTTATGACGGCATAACATGACGAGCGTTTTCTCTCCATGGCATAAAATTGTCACATTTGCGGCCCTTTAATAGGAAGCTATAATTTTGCACAGAGTTGTCTTTTGCCTTTATTACGTGTGTGTTTTTTTTATTGCCAATTGTTTTTAATCGTCAATACATGTTATGACGATGGATTTGAGTCTGACCGACATGACGAGACATCGAGCATTTGGTTGGATGTCACGTACTGTTATGCGTTTGATCAAACAGGTCATAACATGACGAGCGTTTTCTCCCCATGGCATAAATAGAAAAAATTGTCACATTTGCAGCCCTTTAATAGTGTTCACGGATAAGTGAACATGTTTTTATAATAAAAGAGAATGGCGGGGCTACCTAGTGTAGATGAGAGGGATTTGTTAAACTGGGATCTTCTTAATACAGTCCACATTAAATAAGATAAGAAAATGTGGTGAGCAGACCTTCGAGTTAGAAATAAATAGTATAGAATTTTCAATTGCTGCATGTGTTATGGTGGAGTTAGATTATGGGATGTAATCTTTACTCAGACTGATAAGCAAGTGCAGCATGTTTGCTTGCCACATGTGAGATAGCTATGCGTGTTTATGACCTCCTCCTAAGATTTATGGTGGCATGGTGCATATGCATGTGTACAGTTGGTATCTATCTCTCTCTCTCTCTCTCTCTTATTTACACTTAATGATAATTTAGGTTAAGTCATATTATCATATCTAGTTCTTAAGAAATATTTTTAATAAATAAATTCAGTGTCTTACAAACGCTCAAAACGGAAAAGACGTTTGGTCTTTTTAATGATCCCGGTTTACAAATAGGAAGCTAAAATTTTGCACAGAGTTGTCTTTTGTCTATAGTCAGATCAAGTTTGAAGATGAGTTATATCCGTCAACGTTTTCGTATAGCCACCATATAATTGATCCTCCCATATTCGGTAGTTTGATGATTTTAGCCACATTTTTAAATAGAATATTTAGTTTGTATGGGGGTCTACATCCTATGGCATAATATTGTGCACGTTTTCTTATGAAAGTACCCTCGATATCGGATATTTTGACGAATTCAGACACATTTTCTAACGGAATAATCTAAACTTCGTTATATAGAATTCATAATATGTTCTACCACCTGTGGCAGATCATTTCCTATATAAGTCCACGTTTTCCTATAGCCTCCATATAATTGTAACTTCCCATATTCGGTATTTTGATGAATTTAGGTTCAGTTTCTAGGGAAATAGCTTAAAATTCCATATTTAGAGTTCATATAAGATTTTATATCCTGTTGCGTTTCCGTATGACCCTATAAAAAGGTACTTCCCAATATTCGATATTTTGATTTTAGGCACATTTTTAAAAGAATTACTAAAAATTCGTAATGAGTTCTTCGGCATATGTTTTATCTTAGTTCTGTAAGTGATTTGAATGGAATAAAGAACAAAAATCTTTGTTCGCTCAGCAAATTTTATGTGGGGAATTAAGAAATAAGTGATTAATGGTCAAACAACGAATAGAGAGCGAATCAAGTGTCATGTTAACTTAGCATTACATTCTTCAGTTCTGGACAGCGAACGAAAATAAACTATTGGAAACGTTACGAAAAGAAACAAAACCGATATTAAGATAACGGGAGTTATTTCTTATTTTGTACTGTTTGTGTAGATGAGTGCGAAACGAAACAGTACACAACTCATTGGAAATGCTTGCAAACGTTTCCCTGTATATTAACTCATTACAAATAAAGCACAAACTAATTAAAAGTTAAAATTATTCCATTTTATTCATTTATTTGACACCATACAATGTAAAAAAGTACAAAAACCATATTAAGAATAACAACTCTTTACGTACCAGTCATAATTTCGGACAGCAAACGTTTGCAAAAGTTTCACGGCGGTTCGTTCGCAAACGATACAGCTCGGCAACTCCCAGCCGAAGTACATTAAGGCAATCGTATTGTTTATGTACTTCTGGCATTGATATTTTTGTGTTTTTTTTTTTTTGGAGTAAAAAACGACTGAAAAAATTCTAACAATTTGTGTCTTCGTTTCGTTTTGTTCGTTTCGTTAGTACAGATCATAAATTTACTTGTCTACCGGCTTGGCAGGGGAACCTTGTACTTAGGTCTTGGCGTACACCAATAAGTCGCACAATCGATTAATCGGTTTCACAGAGTTCATAGTCGACTGCGGCTATCAGAACTACGACTACTAATGGTCGATTAATCGAAAGTCGAGTTACCTATCCCTACTTCAGAGTTGTATAACTTCTGGCCTGTTCTTGTTGCTTTTTTTCTCAGTTTTCTATAAAGAGGTTATTTATTAATTTAGCCAATATGATGAAATTTAGCCGAAGTTTGGGAAGTGTGCTAACTCGATTTGCTTTTAATCACAGCGCAGCCTCATCACAATTTGTGCAGAACATCCACACAGCTTTGCCACTGAATTGTGAACATCATAATCCAGAAAGTGCAACTGAATCGCCGGCCGATGATACCCAAGAGAAACGTGAATTAACTGAAAAAGACCGCAAGTTGATGTTAAAGGATCGAACAAAAGTAATCCCTGTTGAGACCTCCATCCGATACCTAAATAGCACTGCATACAAACAAACGTACGGCGAACAATTTGTCTGGGAACAGTACAGACGTAACCATAAGGGGCCATTTCCACCACGTAAAACGCGCAAAACCTGTGTACGCCAAGGTGTGATAAGTACAGGAAATCCTTGTCCAATTTGTAGAGACGAATATTTGGTGTTGGATCATCGTAACATAGAATTATTAAAACAGTTTATTTCTCCACAAACGGGGCAGGTGCTGAGCTACTCAAAGACTGGTTTGTGCCAGAAGAAACATTTGCAGTTGCTGGTTGCTGTTGAAAGAGCCAGGGATTACGGTCTACTGACTTTCGACGTGCCATATCGTGAATTCGATTACAGCGAATACGCCCAAAAATCACAGGCATAGACCACAAAAAATAAATAAATTGTTATTAGTTGTAAGCTTCAAGTGAGGAAATGGAAAAGTCTATTGAAGGAAGAGGAGGTGTCGCCGCTGAACAGTACACATTTGTCATTGTAGGTGGGGGTATAGCTGGTGTAACAAGTGCAGAGACTACTGCCATCTGTTGTCCCAAGGAGTCAATTTTACTGTTGACGGAATCTAACATCATCAAGACTGTAGCAAATTTAGAACCCGTCGCTAGATATTTGTACAAGTTCGATGTACTTGAAAGGGAATTAGCCAATAACACTGGAAACAGCGAATCCAGAAATGTTCTAGCTCCCGCTATAGTTACCCAAGTCGATAGCTTACAGCATGTTGATGCCAAAGAAAAGTTTATAATAACAACTAAGAAAAAGAAGATCTACTACAAGTATTTGTGTATATGCACAGGTGGAAGGCCTCGTCTCATAGAAAAAGACAATCCCCTTATAATTGGAATACGGGACACTGATTCTGTTCTGGTATTGCAAAATAAGTTGGCCAATTCGAAAACTGTGGTTCTAGTCGGTAACGGCGGAATAGCCAGCGAATTAGCTTATGAGCTGAAAGGCTTAAAAGTTCACTGGGTAGTGAAGGATAACCACATTGCTTCAACATTTATTGATCCTGGAGCTGCTTATTTCTTCCAACAAGTAATGGACTCTAAAGAAGGTGTTACATCGAATGATACATCTGAAAGTATTGTAAAGCGATTACGATATGATGAAATAGTAGCTTCTGAAAACAGTAATAAAAAAGGAGCAGCTTTGGGACCTGATTGGCACCGCCATTTCGATTTGAAAGGATCTAATTCCAGCATAGATAAGCCTATTATTCATTTCAAATCGTTGGTAAAGAGCATGGAGGAATATTTCGATGCAGAACAGAACAAAACTCTCCTGAAAGTTGAGCTTAACACAGGCGAAATTATTGTTTGTGATTTTCTTGTATCAGCAACTGGGGTGGATCCACGATATGACTACAGTTCTGAACCCAAATTTGAACTAGATATCGAAGACCACGGCATTAAAGTGAACGAAATGATGCAAACCTCTAATGAATACATATACGCCGCTGGCGATGTTTGTACAGCTGCATGGGATAAAGCCGAACACTGGTTTCAGATGCGCCTATGGACTCAAGCTCGACAAATGGGTTCAATGGCTGGCAGAAGTATGACCGCACATCACCTTGGAGAAACCATATATCAAGATTTTTGTTTTGAGCTTTTCGGACATGTGACACAGTTATTTGGTTTGCCAGTTATCCTCTTGGGACGCTATAATGGTCAATGTTTGGGCACAAATTACGAAATACTACTGCGAACTACACCAGGTCACGAGTACATCAAGTTTATTCTGCAAGATGGTAAACTGCGGGGTGCCATTCTAATTGGAAACACAGAGCTGGCAGAAATGTGCGAAAATCTTATACTAAATGGCATTGATTTAACACCATTTGGCGATGATATTCTTAATCCTGATATAGATATTGATGACTATTTCGATTAAATACAAAATAAAACTTTATTAACACAATGAATTTAATTTATCGAACTAGGTATGTTGTAACAACAAAAGTAATTCTTCAGATAAAATGTAGTCAAATTAATTAATTTCAGCCTAAGTAGTATTAGGAAGGAAGTCCGTTGGTGTCAGTTGCATTTCCAGTTCGATAAGACTAACCAAGAATGGGTATTAATGGGAAGCTATACAAATATAATACAAGGTTCGGTTGTACTTAAAAACGTTACTGTCTGATAGGAGGATAAATAACACAGCGCTGTTTAAATCTATACATCAAAGTCCTAGATTCAATTGAGGGTATCAGATTTAGAAAACTTTGGGTTGCGTAGTCGGAGTTGGACATATCAAGAAGAAAAAATCCAATGACCCGGGCGGAGAATGCTTACTTAAAAGTCGTATCATTTCATGATACCGTTTGATACCTTTATTGCCTTGATTGGGTCCTCTATCAGGGTCCTAAGGGGTACCTGTGGTAACATTTTCACCACGATTACGAGGAGCCCCAAACTATTTGTTCCTTAATTTTTTTTTTTTGTAAATGACACCTATTTACTCTGCATACATGTGTCCTGTTCCAGAACCTGCAAGAATGTAATATTTTTTTGCAATTTTTTCGATACCATAAATGGAAAATCGGATATCGTGGTAAAAACTTTTATATTTTTGCTGTTCAGAAACAGACCAACGCTGTGATGTATTGAGTATAGTGTTCAATTATTCTCATGAAAAATAAATTAAACTTTACTTCTGTAAACTTTCGGAGATAGATTGTCGTTATAAATGTAAGGATTCTAGCATAAAATATTAAAAAATTTATTATTTTTATATCGATTTATGAACACCTGAGTAATCTAAAAGTTGATTTGCTCATATAACTGATTTGTAAGAAGTTGTCTAAGACTAGGTGTATTATATATAACACGCTTTTGAGACCAATTTCTGGTACTGACTATTTGGATTTTTGTCATTTGATTTTAGCCTCGCTTCCTGTAAAAAAGATTAATTAATTGGTAGATGCCAAACGTGATAAAATATTCCTCGAACTTACCAACATATTTAATTTCATCGAAAGCCTTTCTCGCCTTCTTCAATTCCTCATTCATTGTCAGCAGGTCCTTAACACGGGCGTATTTTCTTGGGTCTTTACGAACTAAGAATATGATATCCTCCACTTGTACTCTTCCGGTGCGTCCTATTTCCATGGCACGATGCGTCATTTCTGTTATAAATTCGATAACCAGATCCTCTAGCAAATCAACACTTTCGGTATATGGATTTTCGTCATCGCCAAAGCCGTACATCATACAACGTAATTCCTTGCTGAACAGACGTTTGCGTCCTGCATTTGTGGGAACAAATTGTTCCTCGCCTTCTTCCTCGTCGAGCTGATAGACATAAATTTGAGTAGTTTTCATAATCATTTTGCGCTCATAAATACTTACATCAACATTTTCAAACGGTTCATCATTGTTTGTAGTCATATTTGAAAAAAGAAAATAGAAATTAAAATCTGGCTTCCAAGTTCGTATACAATAATAACGTCTAGACAACGGAGCCAATTGACTTTTTCGGCGGCGGTGCTTCGATTAGCAATTTTTTCTATCGATATTATTGGACGAAATTTGTGACATGGGACAATAAGAAGGTATAGCAGAGCTATCAGCTGATTATATTTTTTGCGCATGGCCGACTTTGTCACTCTTGAAAACAATAGGACTGTTCAAGATCTGCAAGAATGTGAAAATGTTTACTACGATAACCAATTTTCTCCTTATGACATCGAAGAAAATTGCAGAACTAGTAGAGCGCGCATAAACGAATTTTATCAGCTTTGTCATGGAAGTGAAGAATAAATCATCTTTGATTATATTTCTGAAAGGAAATCTTTACATTTCATTCGATTTTAGCGATTATTAGTTCATTTTTAAAAGTAAAGAAAAATATAAAGCAACCAATTTTGTTTAAATGAAAATTTATTCCACAATATTTTAATTAAATACAAATTCGCGTACAATGGACTGAATGTCAGGGATTTTTGACAATATCAAAAATGCTAAAATGTTAATTTCAAAAGAATTTTAAAATTTTTAAAATAACGTTTTCCTTCTTAACGAACTATAGGGTAGTTTACTGAATGAGATAGTGTTGATGTCTACTCGGCGACGGAATAAGAAAAACAATAATTGTGAATTGAGCGAGGACATTTGTACCACTGTTAAAAAAGGGGATTCTTCAACTAGGTTGTGTTTTGCTTGATTCTGAGACTGATATTTATTGTGGAGACAACATTCCTTCAGAACAACAACCGGCAATTAAGCGGACGATATTGTAAAACATTTTGAAATATGTATATAATTGGTGAAATAAAATAATATGGGTGCCACCGAATCTCAAATATTGAGGGAACTTCAAGAAGAGGCGATACAAAAAAAAAAAAAAAATAAAAGTTCCTATGATACAGACAAACAAGTAAAAAAACTGTAAGTTCGGCCGGGCCGAACTTTTAATACCCTCCACCATTTGGTACAAATTTGGCAATTTCCAAAAAAATAAAATAAATAAATAAACAAATAAAATAAAAAAAATCCTTTAAAAATTCTGTTAAAATCTTAAAAATACCGAATGTCTATACGACGACGCATACATGCATAGGCAACTTTTGTCATAAGTTATTACAACATTTAAATGCGAAACATGAAGAAAAAATTGTTTATAATGTAGCTAAAATCATCAAAATACCGAATATAGGGGGTACCGTTATATGGGGGCTATACCAACACGTGGACCTGCACAGACAATTTTCTGGCATGGGCTGAAGTATCCATTACGAACTTCAAATGCGAAATTTAAACAATCATCTTTGATTATATTTCTGAAAGGAAATCTTTACATTTCATTCGATTTTAGCGATTATTAGTTCATTTTTAAAAGTAAAGAAAAATATAAAGCAACCAATTTTGTTTAAATGAAAATTTATTCCACAATATTTTAATTAAATACAAATTCGCGTACAATGGACTGAATGTCAGGGATTTTTGACAATATCAAAAATGCTAAAATGTTAATTTCAAAAGAATTTTAAAATTTTTAAAATAACGTTTTCCTTCTTAACGAACTATAGGGTAGTTTACTGAATGAGATAGTGTTGATGTCTACTCGGCGACGGAATAAGAAAAACAATAATTGTGAATTGAGCGAGGACATTTGTACCACTGTTAAAAAAGGGGATTCTTCAACTAGGTTGTGTTTTGCTTGATTCTGAGACTGATATTTATTGTGGAGACAACATTCCTTCAGAACAACAACCGGCAATTAAGCGGACGATATTGTAAAACATTTTGAAATATGTATATAATTGGTGAAATAAAATAATATGGGTGCCACCGAATCTCAAATATTGAGGGAACTTCAAGAAGAGGCGATACAAAAAAAAAAAAAAAAAAATAAAAGTTCCTATGATACAGACAAACAAGTAAAAAAACTGTAAGTTCGGCCGGGCCGAACTTTTAATACCCTCCACCATTTGGTACAAATTTGGCAATTTCCAAAAAAAATAAAATAAATAAATAAACAAATAAAATAAAAAAAATCCTTTAAAAATTCTGTTAAAATCTTAAAAATACCGAATGTCTATACGACGACGCATACATGCATAGGCAACTTTTGTCATAAGTTATTACAACATTTAAATGCGAAACATGAAGAAAAAATTGTTTATAATGTAGCTAAAATCATCAAAATACCGAATATAGGGGGTACCGTTATATGGGGGCTATACCAACACGTGGACCTGCACAGACAATTTTCTGGCATGGGCTGAAGTATCCATTACGAACTTCAAATGCGAAATTTAAACAATCCCGGTAAATAATGTCGCTAAAATCATCAAAATACCGAATATCGGGGGGTACGGTATATGGGGCCTATACGAAGACGTGAACCTACATGGCCCATTTTCTGTTTTCTGCTGCAGTATCTATTACGAACTTCAAATACCAAATTTGGAACGGTTCCGTTAAATAATGTCGCTAAAATCATCAAAATACCGAATATCGGTGGGTACCGTTATATGGGGGCTATACGAAGACGTGGACCTGCACAGATAATTTTCTGTCTTAGGCTGTAGTATCCATTACGAACTTCAAATGCCAAATTTGAAACAATTCCAGTGAATAATGTCGCTAAAATCATCAAAATACCGAATGTCGAGAGGTACCGTTATATGGGGGCTATATGAAAACTTGGACCTACATGACCCATTTACGAACTTAACCTGCCTACTGGCAAAATAAACATGTGTGCAAAATTTTAGCCTTCTATCTCAATTTGTTCGAAAGATAGAGTGATTACAACAGACAGACAGACAGACAGACGGACAAACAGACACACAGACAGACAGACGGACATGGCTAAATCGTCATAGAATTTTACGCTGATCAAGAATATATATACTTTGTTGGGTCTGAAGTGAGTATTTCGAGGAGTTACAAACGGAATGACAAAATTAATATACCCTCCATAGTATGGTGGAGGGTATAAAAATAAAAATATCTTCCCTTTAAGTCATTTAAAAATAGATCTGTTTCAGTAGATCTAAAAAATTGAAAATATTATTTTATTCTTGTTTCGGAATGTTTACGTTGAAGCTCTTTTCATGGTTATACAATTCACTTGACAATTTAAACTGATTGGATTTTCTAAATCCTTTACAACATACTATATAAGATTAAAAATGTTTTTAGTTTATTTATTCTTTACAAGCAAGATTTCAATAAAAAATGCATACCAGTACCATTTATTATACCCTCCACCATACATAGTATGGAAGGTATATTAAGTTCGTCATTCCGTTTGTAACTCATCGAAATAATCATTTTAGACCCAACAAAGTATATATGTAAATTCTTGATCAGCGTAAAATTCTAAGACAATTTAGCCATGTCCGCCCGTCTGTCCGTCTGTTGTAATCACGCTACAGTCTAAACGAATTAAGATAGGAAGCTAAAATTTTGCACTTGGAAAAGAATTATCTATATAGGTCCACGATATCGTATAGCCCCATATAACGGTACCCTCCGATATTCCGTATTTTGATGATTTTACCCACATTTTTCAACGGAATTGTCTGAAAATCCACACAAGGAGTGCCTTGTGGGTACTTTATATCAAGATATTGTATAGCCCGCATATGATTTCAGCCACATTGTTCAATGGAATTGTCTGAAATTCCACACGAGGAGTTTATTGTGAGTACTTTATCCCTTGGAAGAGAATTATCTATATAGGTCTACGATATCGTTAGCCCTCCATATAACGGTACCCCCGATATTCGGTATTTTAATGCTTTTAGTTATATTTTTCAATGGAATATTATCAAATTGTACACAAGAGGTTCTTTGTAAGCAGTTTACACCCTGACAGAGAATTAATATAAGTATATCCCCCATATAACGGTACCCCGATATTCGGTATTTTGATAATTTTAGCCATATTTTCCAATGGTAATGTCTGAAAATCCACACAAGTAGTTCTTTGTGAGCACTTTAACCCCTGAAAGGTAATTGTCTATATAGGTCTAAAATATCGTATATCCCCCCATATATCGGCACCTTCTGATATTAGATATTTTAAGGATTTTAACAGAATTTTTAATTAATTTAATTTTTTTGAAAATTTTCTAATTCGTTCAAATGGTGGAGGGTATTCAAAGTTCGGCCCGGCCGAACTTACTGCTTTTTTACTTGTTTTATTGATAAACTTGGTTATAACTTAAAACTATTGTCCAAACCATATAAAATTCGCTTTCTTTTCAAAATTTTTTTACCAAACAAATCTTTGGTCTGTTCCAGAACTACAAAAATGTAAAGGTTTTTACTGCGATAACCAATTTTCCCTTTATGATATAGAAGAAAATTGTACAAATAGTAGATTCTTGCAGATACTGGAACAGAGCACTTGTTTTAAAATTTAAATGGTAATGGCAAGGTAGATTTAACAGGTAGCAGCATCGTCGAATTGCTACAACAAAGCAACTTTTATGGTACCCTCAAATGTCAAAATTGGCATCAAAGGCGAAAAAACATACATTGGCCATGTCAACCAATCAGAAACGAGGTGTTTGTTTACATTTTATGTTGTGCGTGGAAATTAAGCCAAGTAATAATACGACACTCGGGGAATATTGCAACATGCCCAAGTCGATAGTTAGCACCCGAAATGTTTATACAAGCCCACAACTGTAGTATCTTTTACGTTATCGACAAATACCACTAATATTCCAGCCAATGTTGGTAACCGGAGGTTACACCGACTCCAGCACATGGCACAACAGTAGCAAGGGTTTCCGATCAAATGGTTTAAAGAAAGAACATAGCACCAATATCACCACCAGTAAAAGCCCTTTAAGAATGCCCAGCAATCAAGCTAGTAGCCACTTGGTGGATACCAAAGCCTTGTTGGTAGCAGAGCCGATGCAAATTCCTCAAACCATACAAAGAGTTTTCACAGACCACAGAATGCTGGAAGAGCAGGGGCTAGCGGAAGTTTGGATAAGACCAAATGAGTCATAGCTCTCGTGAAAAGCAAAGTAAAATGGCTATACAACAGAGTCAGGCCGTAAAGGGGTAACATGGGCCTATACAAACCAAAGAATGCTGTAAGCCTTCATGGCAGCGGCTGCTGCAGCCGCCGGTTCGTCTGGGCCAACTGGAAATGTCCACGATAAATTACATTTCAAGGCCAGTTCTGAACATAATCTCATTTTTTGCTGGTAATTCAACCCTAAACTTGCTCTTAACTTTCTTAAATTTTGAAATATCAGAAAAAAATAATACTTTTAGTAAAGTAATTTAGGTCGAATTCAGCATTACAACTTGTTTTGACATTTAAAGGTGCCGTCAGCTGGGGTGATTAGACTGCCTAGTAGATCTACCTTGGTATTTGGCTTGGCCCAATTATAAGGTCTTCCTTCGAGCGAATTAATCTAAAAACAGCTGTTATTTTATCAGATGAAATGTCAAAATTCATGCTTGAGGCGAAAATAAATATTTTCGCCTTGACAGAAGAATTTTGTGGCGAATATGTTTGTTGTCATTTTTTGGTAAATAAAACCAGTGTTCGAAAATAAACAGTATGGTACTGTACCGTTCCGAGATAGAGTGGTACACTAAGATAATGTGCCGTACCGGAGCACAACCCTTAAAAAATATTTAGTGATACTGTACCGGAGCACAACGAGAATCGTACTGTACCGCAGTCGAACCACTAAAAAACGTAGTGTTCCGCAGTCGGAGCACTACGAAATCGTAGTGCTGTACCACATATGTATTGTTTACGATTTGTGAGAAAAATTAGATGTTCGATGTTTTTGATAATACAAAATAATACAATTCAATATTATGAATATAAAAGCTGAATTTATTTTATGTATGTTTAGATTGGTTGCGAAATTGAAGAAAGTAGAAAAATATGGGAAAAGGTAAAAAGAATAAAAAAGGACCAAATCTAAAGTAATAATAATTAGTATTTAACCATTGAAATTTGAAATTTTTAATTTTCCGCGAAAAATGGTATTTTAGTGGTTACATTGTAATGGGTTATTATGCAAATAATTTACCAGTTATTTTGTGGTACCGTGTGAATGTAGATGTAAAAAACTAAATATTTTACAAAGTATGGCTGAGTGTTTAACATCAGTCTTATTATTTCAATTTTTTTAATGAGGTGCATGTGGTACACTACGGTTTTTAATGCTCCGCTTGCGGAACACTACGTTTTTTAGTGCTCCGACTCCGGTACACTACTATTTTTTAGTGTTCCGACTGCGGTACACTACGATTTTATAGCGCTTCGACTGCGGTACACTACGATCATCGTTGTGTTCCGGTAGAGTATCACTAAAATATTTTTTAGTAGTAGTGTACCGGTACACTACCGCTAAAGTTTTTTTAGTGATACTGTACCGGTACAGTACACTATGTTTGTGTACTGTTTATTTTCGAACGCTGAATACAACACATGGTCAAACCGAATTTGAAATTAAAAATGTTAAATTAAAAATTGTTGATATTTGTAAAAATTGTTGAAAAATGCATATCATAACAACTTCCAATTTGCGTCGTTTTAGAAAACGTATAAAAATCTACTTATTTTTGACAAAACATTTTAACAATAACATTGACATATCAATGTTCCCAAGCGTTGAAATAATTTTTTGAGTAATTTTTTATTTAAAATTTTCCAATTTAAAAATTGGTTTGACAGTTCATTGTCCTAGCAGCTATGCAATGCGACTACCTGCATTCTTCTACCATAGTTTTAATCCATTGTATACAGAGAAAATAAATTCCATGAAATTTGACAAGGTAAATTACAGAAAATGCAGAGATGGATAGTCTTATTTGAAATGACTTTACAGTCTTAATGTCCTCATGAATGATACCAAAAAAAAAAAAAAACATTACAAAACTCGTCTATTCCAAAACCTGCTAAAATATACTACTTTTGCATTTTTTAGATGTAATGGAATTTTAATGGAATGTCAGTCATCGTAGTAAAATATTTACATTCTTGCAGTTCAAGAACAGACTAAAGATTTGTTTGCTCAGAAACTATTGAATAGAAATGAGTAGGAATGGCTGGATGTGTGGTTTTGATTAAATCGCTCCTCTCTTAAAGTGTTATCGTCTTATCTACACAGATCAGGAAGACGGATGGATAACACGTTTTTATGAACTAAAATGAACTTAAACCATTACTTCTATGGGACACATTTCGGGCGAATCAGTTGATATATACACTCAGCAGTCGTAAGGCTATGGTTTTACCCTGGAGAATGAAATGAATGGAGCCTACTACGTAATACCTTTAACCATGGATATTTGCTATATGTTTTTCGCGTAAAATGTTACTGCCTTGATTCTAGATACAGAGATATTTGCACATGATAGCTCGGCAGATCTCCATTTTCAGTTACAGTATGTTTTTTTGCAAATTGATTGCATATTTGATTCGTTTATAAATGTAAACTAGCTGAACCCGGTGCGCTTCGATATCCCTTTGTATTTTATATGCATTCAAAATTTTATATACGAATATTTATTGGTTTAAAAAAATAAGACAAATTCAAACATTTAAAAAAGTAATTATTGTTATACTTTAATGCGTAAACAAATAGCTCGGTCTACCAACGCGTGAACATGCCAGTAACAGCTGATCATGAAAAAAAAATCATATCCCAATCTGAACCGATTTTAATATAATTTGACAAAATTTAATTTTACACCAAATTCCGTCACAACTTTCATATTTCATTGAAATTGGAGGTACATACCGAGTTTGGTGCATTAAATATGTGAAATCGGCCGAAAATATATATGGGAGCTATATCCAAATCTTAACCAAATTCTAATTAATTTGTCAAATTTATTATTGTAACCAAATTCCGCCACACATTCTTAATTTCATAGGAATCGAACATGCATATCGTGTTTGATGCAACAAATAAACGAAATCGGTTGAAAATATATATGGGAGCTACATCCAAATCTGAACCGATTTCAACATAATTTGAAAAATGTATGTTCGTGTTAAATTCCGTTACACATTCCAAATTTTATTGATATTAGAGATACATAGCGTGTTTGGTACATCATGAAACCGGCAGAAAATATATCCAAATCTAAACCCATTTCAATATAATTTTGCAAATTTTATTTATTTTTATTCCAAATTCCGTTATGCATTCCAAATTTGGAGACTGTATCTGTAATCGATCAATAGATAGGTGCATATAAAATCTAAATTTTTGGGATGTACCTCCGATTCTAATGCTATATCTCCAGTTCCAAGTGGAATTTGAAAAATGTTTATAGCCTATGTTACTTTCACATCTCATTGTCAAAATTTATATTTATAATTCCATTGTATATACAGAAATACAGAAAAGATAGGAACCTCATTTTATTCAGTGAAATTTGACAAGGTAAATTACAGAAAATTCAGAGATGTATATGCTTTTTTGAAATGACTGACTTGAAAAGCTGCAATTTAGGTGCAGCGCATTATACATTGGAAATAGGTCCCTGAGTTTCTTCAAACATTGGGCTTACAAATAATACTCCTACCAATTCAGTATGAAGTATGAAAATGAAATATATAGGTAAGTTGTCATGGTTCGGAAGTTATAGTCAAATTATTGTCTATATCGGGTAAGTGGATCCGGGTCTAGTCGGGGTCTTGAACCCGGACTTTCGGGTCAAAAATCTGGGGTCCCAGGTCCGTCCCCCAAGAAAAAAATAGTTTCCCGGGATAATGGTTAAAATACCTACCACTGAAAAAATTTTCGAAAAAATTGAAGAGTTTTTACTAAACTAGAGTTAAGTCCACGTTTTCAACTTTTTGCGTAAATGTTGAGATTTTGAACATATTTTTGTATTTTTTAAATTCTGCTGGAGAGACACTTATCAAACATTGTTTTTGCCGATACAAACATTTTGAAAATATTGCCTCTTTTGTTTACAGTTTTCTGTGAAATTTCAACCCGCGGACAAAATGCGTGCCTCGAATGAGAGAGAAAACAAAATTTGCTTTCGTTTGAATGTACATACGCCATTCAACATTGTAGTTTTCATTCATAATTTTCAGTCTTCCCAAAAATTTTTAAAATTTCTTTAAATTTTTCTATTTTTAATTTTTAAATGTCATAATTTATTTTTTCGATAAATGCTCTCATTTTTTAGGAATGGGACATATTTGTTCGTTGTTCTGAGAGTGGTTTGATTTGAACAATGTACAAATATGAGTGTTCGCTCAGGAAATTTTGTGGTAGTTTTTTCATAGTTAAGAGTCAAACAACGAATAGAGAAACTTACCGCTCGCACGAAGTCAAATACTTTAATTTTTTTAATCGACTTTTAGTCCAAACAGAACAAATTCACAAACATTTCAGTGCTAGAAATACAAAAACAATGTACTGCGGCTGAGAGCTGCATCAATTTTTGCGGTTATGGGACTGGGCAGGAATGAAAATGACTTGCCGCAATTTATCGACAGTAAATAATCGATTTTAATATCACAATTGATTAGTCAAAAGTCGACTTACATATCCCAATCTTGTTTTCCTATTCTCCACGAAACAATATAAAAGTATCTCAGAGTATTCATTTTTGGCTTTTTGACAACAACGGTTAACAACGGAGACGCGGAACTTGTCGAAGTTGAAACGGGATAAAGTATACTTGCAAAATTAAATAAAAAACTTGCACAACTCTTATTAGCCAATTCGAGGGCTATAAAGTAAAGAAACGTCAAGTGTAGTGTTCATTCGAATGAACAATCGTTTCCGTTCACAACCGAAAACCACAGGATTTCCCAAAAGAAATCAAATTGAAAAAGTAGTGAATAATTTCATTTATTGATTTTTTTACAAAGCATTTGTTAGACTTTTGTGAAAATTCGATTTCGCCTCTCTCGTTTGTGCTCTCTGCAAAACAATTTTACCGAACAAAGAAAGCTCAAACATAGCTGCAGTACAACACAAATACAACAAATTCTGCATTGCAGACAACAAAATGAAGAATTGCTGTTAAAAATAGTGAAAATAAGTTTATTCGGATAAATCGGGAAAATAAATATCGAATAACATGACGGTTATGCATTGGAAATAGCCGGAGGAGAAATAATTTTGTGGAAAAAAATTGAATCAGAATTGGCTTATTTAATTGGCAGACATACGTCATTTATTTTGTGTTCATGCGAATTTTTCTCACGCTCCCAGTCGATTTACAAACTCACTGCGCCTGCTGGTAATACAATGAGAATTTGTTTTTCGTTCGCTAATACTCGAATTAGTAAGATACGCTTTGTTTCATATTCGAATTTCTTGACATTTTCCTGCAATTATTGAAAACTATTCATATTATTTGATCAACCGGCAACAAAATTGAAAAAATTGTCGATAAGCAAATATTAGCTCAACCAATCATTTGAAAACAGTCGGACACCACCCGAAGTAGAAGATATCCTCGTCTCTATCCTTTGTGGGGTTGTTTACAACGGAGTAGAGTACAAAAAAGTAAAAATATTAGGGAGGGCTCTTTGCGTGTTTGAACACCCTGCCCCAAAAAGTAAAAGAGGTGGCAGACGACCGAAAGAGAAAGTCTTTCTTGCGTACGTCAGTTTGTGTGTATGCGTGCGTGTTTATTTATCATTAAAATTGCATTGGAATTTTACTCGTAACACAAATACAATACTCTGTAGTCTGCAACAACAGAATTGCTCTTTGTGAGCTGTTGCTCTATTCCAACAACCAACAACGACGCATAACAACTCTTCGATCGAAGAAGAAGAGGAGGAGGAGGAGACACAGCCAACAGCCGACAAACATCGAAACCGACAGCACGAACACCGAACGAAGGAGACAAAGTTGGCCTTCAGAAGGCCATAAAACAACAACAACAAAAACACATATATCATTCCATTATTTTCACCCCTCGACTACTAACATAACTACTGCAACCTGTTCAGGGTTATAGCAATGATGGCGGAACCCGAATCAAGGTCATTTAAAACCAAACGTCGCAACTTCGTCTCCCCCAAATTATCCTCTATTACTACAGCTGTGTCGGCGCGACCATCGTTTTTACATCTACTCTGCTTTGCTGTGATATTTTCTAATTTGATTGCACCCAGTATTCAGGTAAGTTGCGATGGTACGAATTAATGGCATTGTTGTTTGGACTTTAGGAAACGCATATTACAGTTCGGATCAATAAGTTCGATTTTGAAAGACCTAAGGTTTTTCTATATATCCTTTTCTCACTACATTTACCATTTTTATGCCAATGTTGTCGATCCTACGATATTCCACAATTATGAACTCGACTTCACTTTAACTAATATCCCTGTAAGCTCCCTCTCTATCAAAACGTTAACAAATATCAGGACAAGAGATTTAAAAAATCAGTAACTGACAGATTTTTAAACGTTTATGACCGATTCTACTTATTGCTTACTTATTACTCTGGACGATTGGGATAACTTGATAGATAATATATTTGGAGGAATTGTGTGTTCCGCGACACCTGAAAAGGCAAGCCAGTTAGAAACTATCACATACTCGCCACTGTGCGAAGCGCATCGCCGTTCGTTATGTGCCTCATCAGGTATATTAAGTGTGGGTGATGGCTTACAAGGTCCATTCTTCAGAAAGTATCATTTATTTCGAATTTATTGCGATTAAGTATATGCGATGTAAACACCACCAGCAACAATATGTGTTTTCTAAAAGCGAAATACTTAATTTATATAGTTTGTCTTAGAAGTTGGTCTAAATTCTTGTACCACGCTTGACTCCTCTGTTGGAAAAATCCTTCTACGTAAGAATTGCTCGTATTTTCAACAATCTGTCGCCCAATCTTAAAATATTTAATTCTTCTCTAAAGTGTTATAAGCGTACATTACATGATCTCTTCAATCAAAATATTTTTTAATAATGGTTTTCTTGTGTTTGTTTTTGTATTTCTCTTGCATAGCTGATTCATCTTATTATTGTTGTTAATTTGTTTTTATATTAATAATAATTTTAATTAAGATCTTTAAGATTAAGAATATTATAAATAATTTTAGAGTAGACATGTATAGAAGTTTTTGGAACCGTCCATGGCCCTGTGGGCTATCTGCGTTGATTGAATATGAATAAATAAAAAAAATAAATATATTTAAATACATATTAACCTGCGTTATTTCCAAAGGACATTTATTTCATTATTTTTATAAGTTTCCACCCTTTGTAGAAAAGATAGCAGAAGAAAAGTTAATATATTCTGAATTGTGAAACCTGTTCGAAGTTGGGTTAAACTCGAGCACTCCCTTCCCTCATTTGGGATTTAGGATTTTTCAAAATGTTGACCATTATCGTACATAATCTAATTGCGGATCAAACATTGGTCTTTCATAGGATTCAGATAATTTCAAAACGGTTAAAGTTTCTGCGAAGAAATTACAGATTGAAAGAGAGAGAGAGAGAGAGAGAGAGACATATATAACCCATATATCGAATCCTCACAATACATCTAATATTGGATTGAAAGTACGAAGAATTAAGGAACTCGGGTGCTAATTCCACATATGACCCAAGGAGAAGTGAGCTGATATCGTGCCGAGTTTGGACAATATCGGCTACTCACTTCTTTCACTATTTATGGGATAAGTAAAACAAGAAATATCTTGATCATAGTAGTAAACCGCTCATCCCCATCATACCATCACAAACCTATAAGTTTGTTTTGCATTCATGTACGTTACGTTTACAATAAATGCTTAGTCATCGCATCAGAATCTCACCTATAAAAACTTATCAGATATCAATGCAAATATAGATCGTTATATGAATCATGCTGTGTCAGATGGGCAAACCTTTTTTTGACCACACATCTATATTTCATTCAAACAATTGTTATATTTCATACAAACAATTGTAGGAAAAAAATTTAACATTCTTACTCTCTGGGACATGATTTCTTTAAATGAAACTGAATGTATAAAGGAAGGAAAATAATTAACACATTGCTTTCTGAAAGTTGTTTTTAAACCAAAACAATTAACAGGGGCATGCAACTATTTCAATGTAATACAAAGCCTTTGCTTGGTAACTAAACTCTCTGCTTTGCACTTATACATATTACGATCTAGCATGTTCGTTTCTTTGTTAAACTGTTTATAGCTTTACTCGCTAATATACAAACATATCTAAATGGTTTAGGAGAAAAGTTAAAATTATTTTTTGTGAGCTCTCGTTTTGATGTTTAGATTTACTTGGCTGCTTCACATGACGTTTTTTCTTTGAATAACAAAACATGTATTTTTGTAATGGGGAGATCAAAGTTGTCATATACGAGTATTTATTTCGGCTAAGGTGGTACATTTCATTATAGAAATTGATATTGATTTCAATAAGAATAAAAGAATTGCTTGGTGGATTCAATATAACATTTCAATTGTCCGCTGGTTCTGCAATATATCTGAGGGCGCCAGCTGAAGCATAAAATCTTACCAAAGGTAAATGTACAGCGTTAAATAAATTTTATTCAAAAAAAAGAAAAACATAAAATGTTTTGAAAATGGTTGTGCAACCAAATTTAATTTCAGTGCAATGACTGACAAAATAATTGTAACAGTGATTATAGGCTCAAAAATGCGATTTTAAAGCCCACATGGCGTTATTACCCTTTTTAATACATGTTGGTAATAAGAAGCTGATCATACGAGTGGTGAGATAAAAACTGCAACAAAGTCAAACGCCATAATTTTTACATTTTTTTTTTAAATTTTATGGAATGAAAGCAAAAAAATGTCGGAAATAGCATCAAATTTTAGAATAAGTTTAGATTTGTTCGAATTGGTCACCTTTGGCACGAATTATGGCCTTCAAACGGCCAATGAAACCGTCACGCTGCCCGAATGTTGCTCTGCGGTATTTTGGCCCATTCCCGGCGAAGCGCTCGCTTGAGGTGTCGATCACCTTTGTTATTTTTTATTGCCAACCTTGCTTTCCAAAATACTCCAGACATTGTGTCTGTCCAACGAATTGGTATCCGGAGATTTTTGTGACCATTGTGCGCTGGAAATGATGTAAGGAACCTCATTCTGTAACCATTCTAGGGTGGCGCGTGCTGAGTGCGGTGGTGCTGAGTCCTGTTGGAATGCCCAAAGTCTGCGGCCAAAATGTTTGCGTGCCCAAGGCTTTAATACACCCTCCAGAATAATACGAGCGGACAGCGACCATCAGCTGTTATGGCGGCCCACACCATCACCATGGCCGGCGCTTGAGTTCTGTTGGCCAACCGAAGATGCACATTTTCAGCTGACCTCTTTAGAAGTAAACACGATCATTTTGTTTGTTTACAAACTGCTGGGCAAATGATGTTTTCTCCTCGGATGTTTAGCTCTTTCAGTCTATTTTCTTTCTGTTGCGGTGTTAGATCTTGTACTTTTTGGAATTTCAATCGCTTTACCCCGAGCTCATTTTTCAATATTTGCCGAATGGAATATTGCGATATGTTCAGTTCACGAGCAAAGTTTCGTCCACTTCCTTGACGTGGGGCTAAGCTACCAATATCACGGTAACGAGCTATGGTACGAGACACAAAAGATTTATTCACATTTAAATGCTGGAGTGTTCTAACGATAGCCAATTGTGGTTTTCCAGCTACAGAAATGAATATTCTTTTTCGGTGACCTTATTGAACTGTTCCTGGTTATATACGAGCTACGTCCCAATGTACCCGTGTTCAATACGACAGAGACCATCGATGCAGACATTTTTATATCCTCCAGCATAGTGGGGTAGGAAGGAGATTAAAATGTTAACAATATTATCCAACGGAAAGGCTAGGTCCACGTCTTCGTATATCCCCATAAAACTCTACCTCCCTATATTCGGTATTTTGATGTTCTTGCTACATCCTTCACCGGCATTTTTTCAAGTCTAGCAATAGTCCCCATAGTTCAAGTTTCTTATTTGAATATGTTTATGACAAAACTTGCGTATACATGGTTACGTCTTCGTACAGACCCCAATATTACGGTAACTCCCTATATTCAGTATTTTTATCTTTTTTAACAGTATTTTTCAATTTTTTTTTTCAATGCAAATTTCCAAGTCCCTTCCAAATGATAGAGGGTATTCAAAGTTCTGCCCCTGCTAGTTTGGCGCATTTGGACTCCTTTAACAAAACAAAAACGCCTCATCGTAAAATAGAAATAGAAAACTCGTGCCCCGATTTGTATATTTTATCAGATTGCATGGAACAATTAGTCAGAACAATTAAAAAGAACTAGTCGATTTCCGGAATTTTTGTGAATTCTTTGCAAGGGCAAACGATCAATAATTCTATATTTTTAATGACTAAATATTTATGATATTTTCCCGATGTATGTATGTATGTATGTATTTGCAGACTTTATCGGAAATGCTAACGATGAACCATTCATAATTCTTGAACAGGTGTGCGTCTAACAGGTGTCCGTTCATTTTTTGATGAAATACATTTTAACCCATTATCAGATATAATCATATCGTTTTCAACTCGCAACTTGATTACTCATACGCACTTTGGAATTGTCTCGTCATCAAAGGGCGACATGAGGTTTTGTAGAAGAGTTTGCTCGTTGTTTATTTACAAATTCGCATACATTGGCAATATATATACTAATCCAAAGAAAATTATGTCGAGTCTACGACGTTTTCTGATAAGAAATTGAACAAAGAATTGGAAAAATCTCAACTCATGCTGGGTAATAATAGAATAATACGAAGTTGGTGTGAACAACCAACTGTTACTTACACACATACCTTCCATATAACTGGTTCATGGAAAAATTGACACCTAATAGTAACAACTTGGTAAGTTATTTCAGATATGGTTGTATGCTCCTCAATGTACACAGTTCGAAATTAGATACACTCAGGTTTCTTTAGAAGGTGAATCATCATTTTTGTTATGAAGAAATACACAAACATACAGCCAACAATTACTGGTTATTGAATGTGTATTAATTTTAAAATAGAACTTCAATGAACTAGCTTTGTTTATTCTGGTATCGTAGGAATTCCATGATAAGGGGTGGTGTCAAAGGACTGCAAAACGAGAAGGGAACACAAGTCGAGAAGTGGGCAAATTTCCATTTCTTGGCAAA